CCAAGCAACTGCTATTTCACACCCACATATTGCTAGAGCTCATTCAATTACCCTCAACGACTTTGTTTAAAATGAAAATGCTTTGCCTCCTGAGGACAGTGTGAGAGGATTGATTAATGTTGTTCCCTGAAGGACAGAAATGCAGGTACACAGCAAAAATCCAAGTAGCTGGAAACTACTGCTGGGCCCTATTTTACAAGCCATTCAAACCTACCCTCAAGTATTTTGTAAAGAATAAGGACTTTTAAGGCAGTTGGCTTTATCAAGGGACTAGACTATGCATCTACCTCTTCCCCCTTGATGAAAATCACAGAAATTAGAAAACTAAGATGATGAGAAGTGAGGAAGAAAGACCAAATTTTTCCAGATGGTTTTGCAGAAGAGGAAACAGCTTTTTTTTTTCTTCTGACACATTGTTCCAAAGGATCTGTAACTAACAAACCAAACCAGCACATTGCTGGTTTCTGTGGCTCTGTGACTCAGAAGTCACTTTTCTATCCAACATATTAAATGTCAAGTAAAATATCTCCGATAAGAGAGAAGAAATTTCTTTGGGAAGCTTGGTTCCTGTGTTGAGTGCTTCTCCTGTGCAAATGAGCCATAGATTGTGCTGCTGTCTTTTACATGGTTTGCTAACCTGTAAGACAAACATCTACCCAAGACTGCATGAAGAAGCATAAATCGGGGGGGCCTGGGTGGCTCAGTCGGTTAAGTGTCTGACTCTTGATTTCAGCTCAGATCATGATCTCAGGGTCCTGAGATCGAGCCCCACCTCAGGCTCCATGCTTAGCAGGGAGTCTGCTTGAGATTCTCTCTCTCCCCCTTGCTCTGCCCCCACAAATAAATAAATAAAATCTAAAAAAAAAAAAAAAAAAAGGAAGCACAAATCATGGAGACCATATCTTAGTCCTCCACAAATGCCCCCCACAAAGAACTTCACCCATGTCATCACAGTGAGAAAAAACAGAAAGAAACAAGAGAGGAGGAAGAGGAAAAAAATGACAGGGAAATGTTTATGTATGTGTGGTGTGCAGATTTGGGAGCCTAAGAGCTCTGACGGAAGGCTTCTGTATAGACAAAAATGCATGGGTTCCAGGGTAGTCCTAATCCAAAAAGGCAGTATTTATCCATCATGCCCCCATTTGACAATGCTCTAAGGTAACCACCTCTGCTGGGAAAGAAGTAATATTTAGAGCTAGTTCTTGCATGGCTGGGTGAAAGAAGGGGAGGAAGAAAGAGGGAAAGAATTATATGAGACTACACTTCACTTCTCTTTTTTATAACAGATTATTTTCTTTAAGAGAAGCATAAGCTGTGATTAAAGTGGCAATATAATTGCTGAATTTTTGTGCCTCTACCACCTGCAAAGGAAGCACGTTGACAAGAAACCCTCAGCAACCCAATTATTTCATGCAGGTTTTCATCCACCCCAAAAGCCATCCTCAAAATAGAACAGAACTTTTTCTCCTTCGCCAATCTGGTAGGTGCCTTCCACAAAGTAACCAAGAACTAAATCACATTGTTTACCACTATTCTCAACAAACAAAATTTTAAATAAAATGAGGTCCAAGGTTTTTAATACATAACTTTCAAACTTTCATTATATCAATTATGTAATGGCACACTGAGCTTACATTTCACATCTTGATAGGAGGCTAAAAAAGGAACAAGATTTGTCTTCAGGGAGATAAGAGATCTCAAACTCTGTTCCCAGAAGTGGGAGAAGAGATTAGATAACTGGTCTTTTCAGTTTTGAGGAACATTATAATTCAATTGAAAAAAAGTGGGAAAATGAAACAATTTCAAGATTCCCACTATCTAGGAATGTGAGGAAGTTAGAATGTATATCTTGAAAAAAAGTAAATAAAAAAAGGAAATCCAGGGACAATTCTTCCTTAGGAGGCTAAAAAATTAATATTTTAAAAATAGCAATAAACTCAGTTCCTTCTTATACATTTTTAACAAGACATTTAGAGTTACTCATAATAGGCTGAAATGGTAAGATTCTTATATTTTTTTTTACATATCAGTGTCTCAGGAGTAAGCATTTCCTAGGGGTCACTCTGGGAAATACAATCCTTTCCGTCAGGCACAACTGCGGGAACAAAACATTCAATCTGAAATGGATTACCAGGTCGTAGCATGTACAAAGCAACTCACAAATCAGAATGCATTTCTGTTGTCATTCCCAATCGGGGAAAGATCAGCCTGGAAGGAAGTAGGACTGATATGGGAAGGTTTCCAGGCGATGACCCCTGACCTGAACGTTCAAGGATGGAAAGGGCATGAGTCATAGGAAAGGAGGATAGGGGCCCCCCACACACACAAGTAAGAGAATCAGCATAAGCCAAAGGAATGGAGATAAGTTACAACAAATAACATTTGGGGAACGACTGAGGCTGAAGACTCAAGACAGATGGGTGAACATTAAAGCTACGATTATTGAGTGCCTATAACATACTAGACTCTAGGCATATATTTCCTTTTGTTTTTTCTAATTTAGTTTTAATAAAACAGAGCCCCAGGGCTCAGACCCAGGTGGCTCATTTCTATTAGCCACCCTCACTCCCTAGTTGATCTCTACAGCCTCATGGCCTTAGTCCCACTTGTACACTGATGACTCCCACATCTCTATCTTTAGCCTCGATGTTTCCTCCAACCCCAGACTCATATGTCCAACATTTCCACCTGGATGTCTACAAGATATCTCAAATTCAAAATATTTAAAACCAACCTCCTGATTTCTGTCCAGCCGCCCCCCCCCCAAAAAACAAAAGCTGAACAATAACAAAAACTTCTCCTCCCTCCCTCATCTTCAAAATACATCCAGAATCAGACCACTCCTCACGCCTCCACCTCTACCACCGCCTGAATCACAGCAGCAGACTCCTAAAGGGGATGGACATGAACTTCCCCTCGAGTGACCCTCTGAGTCTGTGCATTCCAACCCTTCGCATTTGCAGGACAGGCTCCAGTTACAGATACTGTTGTCTGAAGTGGAGACCAAGATTTAAGAGTGATTCTTGGACAGGTGACAACAGAAACAACGGAGGCTGAGGGCGGATATGAGAGGAAAACTACAGGGTAGGGTTGAAGGGACATCTGAGGACATGGAGAGAAACAAAAGAACTTGAACTTTTAAGAAATATCGGGTCTTAGGTCAAACGTCCCCTCACGGTTAGCCATTTTTGACTCCTCAGCCAGAGTTCAAGACTTAAGTACAGCATTGGTCACATTACTGGAGGCCTAAGCTGAGTGCCTCCGTCAGCGGACTTTGAACTCATTTTGTGCCCCCAGCACCTGAGGCAGCTTCTGGGACCTGGGAAGCCCTTGGCAAAGGTGGGCTGGCGGCATAACATGGTGCCATGGAAAGTGCATTAGGAGCATGAAGAAGGGAGTGGAAGAACAAATTAAGACTTTACTTGGGGGCGCCTGGGTGGCTCAGTTGGTTAAGCGACTGCCTTCGGCTCAGGTCATGATCCTGGAGTCCCGGGATCTAGTTCCGCATCGGGCTCCCTGCTTGGCGGGGAGCCTGCTTCTCCCTCTGACCCTCCCCCCTCTCATGTACTCTCTCTCTCTCATTCTCTCAAAATAAATAAATAAATCTTTAAAAAAAAAAAAAAAAGACTTGGGGGCGCCTAGGTGGCTCAGTTGGTTAAGCGACTGCCTTCGGCTCAGGTCACGATCCTGGAGTCCCAGGAAGTCCCAGGTTCGAGTCCTGCACTGGGCTCCCTGCTCAGCAGTGAGACTGCTTCTCCCTCAGACCCCCCCCCCATGCTCTCTCTATCTCATTCTCTCTCTCAAATAAATAAATAAAATCTTTAAAAAAGAAAAAAAAAGACTTTACTTGCGAAGTGAGGTTTCAGAGACAGAAAAAAGTATTTGAGTTTATCCAGGAAGATAACACCAATGGCCGGGTGGGTACAGCAGTGGTATGGCACATCAGAGGCAAGGCTTGGGGGAAAGGAAAGCAGGGGAAGAAATGGTGGGGTGTGATACCAAAAAGTAGGTTAGACTGGGAAGCTAAAGAAAGCAGCAGAGTCAAAAGAAGAGTTTTCCCTCTCCCCAAGAAGCGCATGGTGGGGGACAGGAGATGTTTAAAAGAAAAAAGGATGAGCCCCCCCCCGACAGAGGTTGCCCTAGAAGATGCAGTTAGGGTTAATGGGTTATGAGGCCCAGGCCAGCTCATACCTGCAGTTCTTAATCTTTTCATCCCCAAGTACCTAGTAAGTTACTGAGCTCTAAAAGGAGGGTAGGAAGCCAGAGGCTTAACAACCAACCAGAGGTTAAATTTGAACCACTCACTTGAGGTGTGAGTCAAGAAGTTAATGCGGTAGGAAGAGCAACACTGTCGAGTGCTGTAAGACAAACCTAGGTTATGACTTCAGTCCTCGAGGTTCCCATTCACTTCCCATCAAGAGGTGCTGGGGCTCGGCTTCTCACCCCGCGCCAACCACCCTGCCAACATCTGCGGTGGAACTCAAGGGAAATTAGGCTGGAGAGTGGCTCTCCGTCACAGTGGATCTCCATCACCGCGATGAAGGTAGAGTGGAAAGGCCACTCACAATGGCTACCCAGCCTGCTTTGTCCGGGCCTCAAGGGGCCGATGGGAAGCACAGAATATAAACAAAACCCCAACACCTTTCTTTTCCTTTCCCTGCCCAACACTCATACCCTCTCCTCACTAAAATGTAAGCTCCTTGAGAGCAGGGCTTGGCCCTTCATGGCTGGATGCGCACCTAGCAGGGGGCCTGGCACGCAATGGACGCTCAGCAGATATTGGTGGAATACTGAACGGACTCGGCTCAGTCCCGCTTCATTACGTCTGGGCATTGAAGGATGCCACCGCTGGAGCCGCCAGAGAGGGCTGAGGTGGGAGAAGCGGAAGACTTCCCTGAAAGTCCCAGTGGGGCGGCCTGCGGCGCCGAGCGGAGGGCTCTGAGCACGTCGAAGAGGGGGATTCGACTGTCAGGCCCAAGACTGCACTGTTTGCCACTGACCTTCCGGCGGGGACTCCCGCGCGGGACGCAGCAGCCCGGCTCCGGCGTCCGGCTCCCGCCGCCCTCCGGAGGCGCTCGGCGCCCGCTGCGCACGTAGGTCACCTGCCTCCTGCTGGCGCCGCGGGGCGGGCCGGGCGCGGGCGGCAGGTGCGGCCCCGGCGGCCGGGGAGCCGGGCCCGGCGGGGCGCTGCGGGCCGGGGGCCGGGGCCCGGAGGGCCGTAGCTCCGCGCACAGTCGCAGGCCGAGCAGCAGCGCGGCGCCGAGCACACACCGGGGCAGGGCGCCGCAGCCCCTCCCGGACGGCCTCTCCCGCGCCATGGCGCGGGGCCGGGCCCGGGGCTGCGCTCCGCGGCCGGCGGCGGGGAGGTGGCCCGGCTGGCCCGAGCCGCCCACGGTGGGAACTCCCCCGCGGGCCGCGGCGCGGGCTCGGACCCGCCTCCCTCCCTGCGGTCCAAGAAAGCCTCGGCGTAACCTTATCCTGCCCGGCCGAGCGCGCCCGGCCGCTGGAAGGGGCGAGGGGCGCCGGGCCGGGCGGGGTCGCGGGGGCGCAGGCGGCTCGGCCGGGCCAGAACCCGAGCCCTGGGGCGGTGGGGGGAGGTCCCCGAGGGGGCGCCCTCCACCCCGGCCTCCAGAGCCTGGAGGAGTTGGAAAAGCTACATGGCCAGAAAAAGCGCATTCCTAACGGGGTCCTGGGTGGTAACTTCATTTTCTAGTATTAGTATTGTTGGAGAAACACAAGAGGATAGGTGAACTGCCAGATTTTGCTACAAGGAACAAGTTCTGATTGTCAAGCAGTTTGTGCCATTAAGGATTAAACTACTTCGCACTTAGGCTCAGGTTTACAACTTCCCCCCCGTCAAGAAAGAAGGGAGGGGGAGGAGAGAATAGCACCCGATACCGAAAAATCAAATTAGAGTTATTCCATTTCTAAATTCTGCCTGAAGCCAATCCATGCTTTCTCTCCGTGTTATGAAATGTGTGGGGGTGAAGGAGAGGGAAAGAGCCAGCGAAGACATCTGACAGCAGAGAGGGAGAACAGAAGTTACCATGGCATGATGTAAATCAAATTAATTTAGCTCCAAACACACACCTCCCTGCTGTCTTGCAGAGATACAGAAGGACAAATTTATCTTTCGGCAAAATGCTCCCCAGCTGGTATTTCCATCAGCACCTTGACCTTAATTAATCAGGCTGAACGCTCACAGCCTGAAGTCGGTGTTAACTGTTCATTTTCAATTGTTAGAATTCTTTCCCACCACCTATTTGAGGTTTGGGCTTGGGGTTTAGGTTTGGATTTGGGTTTGTTTTCTTTAGCTGTGGCCACTTCTTTTTATGCTCTACACTTTTATTTTCCATACTTCTACAGGAACTACCCCTGCTGACCTATCCTCTTCCCGAACAGCCTAAGGCATGGACACAGAAACCAAATATAGAGCCCCCTCCCTCCACTCCCTGCATCTCAGGAATTTTCCATAAGGAGCCTTCCTCTCTAAAATCTAACTTAAGAAAGACCCAATCTATTCTTTGCACTGTACAAAGCACTTGGGCTATTTCTCTACCTCTAACAACCCAATCTAGTCCATTCCCTGGGCCACACCAGTCCTCAGGCTCCTGAGTGTTTCATTACAAGTGACTTTTGTTTTTTTCTTAGATGCAGCCCTCAGGCTATTGCAGATTGGCTTTGTTTTAAAGAATCCAAGCAAGTACATTTTCCCTGACCCAAATTTTTAGAGAAAACCTCACATCCTGTGACTATTTATTTATTATTATTTGTGAGTAAAGTGATAGAAGTTTATTTTTTTGAAGATTTTTATTTATTTATTTGAGAGAGAGAATGAGATAGAGAAAGAGCATGAGAGGGGAGAGGGTCAGAGGGAGAAGCAGACCCCCTGCCGAGCAGGGAGCCCAATGTGGGACTCGATCCTGGCACTCCAGGATCATGACCTGAGCTGAAGGCAGTCGCTTAACCAGCTGAGCCACCCAGGCGCCCTTGACAGAAGTTTATTAAGTGAAGATACAGAAAAAGCTCTCAAGAGTGAGAGGGTCCCGACAGGGTTGCCAACGAGGGCCTTTAGGGTTGGTCTTTTATAGAAAGCTAACCAGGGAACTTAAATCCTTTCAACGTCTCTACTGATAACACCTTCAATGGCTTACTTCTTTTTAGGGGCTGGTGATTCTTGTTGGTCACAGTTGATTATCATAAAGACACCCACCCGGCACCTGTGACTATTTAAATAATGAGTTTGGGTGTCAAACTTGAACTATGTGCTAAAGCAGGACTCTGTCTTCCAGAAGTTATGAGACTTTGGACAAAGTACTTAACCTCTCTCAGCCTCCATTCTCTCATGTGTAAATAGGCCTATATATTTGGTAGGATACAAAGATTGCATAAAATATTAAAGGTTTAGTAACCTAAATTCACAGAAGGTATTCAACTGATGGTAATTACTTTTATTATTTACCATTAAGGAAAATCCTGGATTTTATCATGAAAGATGAAATTTAAGCATTGATTCCCAAGTAGGTAAACGTAAGAATGTATAAGAAGATTTATAAATATCTTGTACATTGTCTAGAATTAGGAGTATCCAACAGTTGCAAAAAACAACCATTAAGACTCACAAACGTACCCCATTCAGTTGTATAATGGTGTAAAAATATTTAAGACATGATGCGTATTGTGCTTGATCAACCTGGATCACCAATGTCTGCTGTAGACTTTGCTAGAGGTTTTATTTTCTATGCAACCAACACAGTACCTCTAACTAAAGAAGTAATCTTTTGAAGATTATGATATCACCAACTTATGCCCTCTGCGCATGTGTTGAGTTACTCTCCGGGGGGGAATCATGAGAGTATCCTATATTATGAAAATGGGGATATTTAATAAGACTCGACTGGAGGTGGGAGGGGGCACACAGAACAGTGTAGCTCTTGAAGAAAATGGGCAAGATGACCTCATATTTTCCCTTATCTCATTTCTATGGTTCTCTAATAATGTTTCCATTATGAGGAAAAAATCCAAATAAAGTGCAATACTTAAATGCACTTTTCCCTCATCTCTTACAACTGTCTATGTGTTTATTACTAATAGAAAAGAACTGTTTATTTGTATGCAGCATCATTAATTTTCTAGGAAGAAATTTCCCACTTTTAACTTGCACACGTTTCCCTGTGTCATGGATGATAATGAATAGTGCAATAGGTTAGTTCGTAGGCTGAAGAGGAAACTCTAACTGATCGCTGCCTTAGCTGACAAGCCATCCTTCTTCATTCACAACATTTGCTTTTCTCATGAAGTTGAACTTGCCATGTTCGTTTCTGGATATGTTTCAAAAATGCAGATAATCACTAACCACTTAGTCATAGGTTGGTTACTTAAATGTGCAGGTCAGTAAACCACAAAAGCATTTTCATCAGATCACAAATTATATCCTGCTTGAGGTTTCAGCCAGCAAAATGGGTAAAACAACATTTTTACCGCTAATCTCCTAGACACCGTACATTTAAATTAGCACACATGCGGTAGTGTAGTGGTTCTCAATTAGGGGTAATTTTGCCTCCCCGAGGACATTTGGCAATTTACGAAGACATTTTTGGTTGCTACAACCGGCAAGGGTGGGAGGAAGATGCAACTGGCCATCTAATGGGGAGAGACCAGGTATGCTGCAAGATAGCCCCGAATGCAAGGAGTAGCGTTCCACAACAAAGAATTATCCAGCCCCAAATGTCAACAGAGCTGAAGTTGAGAAACTTTGCTGTCACAATAGATATTAATATGGCAATTTTTAATGACAAACTGTCCAAAGAGAAAACAGAAGCTGAGAGACAAGGATCCTCACCTCTCCAAAGTGGTTGTTTCCCTTTCACTATGAAGTATCCTGCCTGAAATAAAGTAATCAAATTTAGAAAGGACTAGAACCCCACCCCCACCCAATCCATGTAATACATGCTCATTGAGGAAAATGTACACAAAGCAAAAGAAGATGCCAACAATCATTCATATGTCATGATTCAGAGATAGCTATCCCGTAAGACTTTTTTCTATGCATATATGCATATAGTTTACAAAAATGAAAACATATTATACATATTTATCACCTGCTCTTGTATATGGTACAAATATTTACCTATTAAATCATATGATGTCGGGATTTGGCTAGAGACAATCCAGTGGGAGAGGTGGGAAATAGCTGGGGGTATAAATGAAGCAAGAAGAACTTTGAGTTTATAACTGTTGTAACTGGATGATGAGGTTCACAGATCTCTGTTATTGAGCATGTTTGAAAGTCTCCATAATAAAAATGTCATTAAACAGTAATCTATTAACCTAACATCATTTTAATGACCACATGTGTTATAATTAAAGCAATCTTCCACTGTTGAATAATTAGATCATTTCCAAGTTTTCATTCTATAAGCAATGCTGTGATGGACATCTTTATAGCTAAATCTGATGGATCTGAGGTGGACTGAAAGGAAAGAAAGAGGTCACGGATGATTCCAAGGATATTCCTGAGTAATTGGAGGGATGGAGTTGCCATTAACGGAGAAAGAAAAGACTTAAAGCAAGAATAGCTTGGGGTGGAAAATCAAGAGTTTGATTTTGATGGTCATATTAAATTTTGGAAGCCTATTAGACATGTAAGTGGAGATGTCGAGTAGGCAGTCTCATTTAAAAGACTGGAATTCAGGGGAGCAGTGAGGGCTAGAAATCGAAATTTTAGATCATGGGCATATTGATGTTGAATAAGGGAGGGAAGAAATATTGGAAGGCTTAGCTCAGGGTCCACTAGTTTATGGTCAGGAAGATAAGGAGGCATCAGCAAAGGATACTGAAATAGGTAGACAGTAAGGGAACAAAATGTGTTGTCCCAGAAACCAAGTCAAGAACGTATTTCTCAAAGGAAGACACTGAGAGGTCTAATAAAATGTGGGCTGAAAACTGCCCATGAGATTTGGCAACATGATGCCTTGTTTATTATCAGTTTTCCCAACTAGAGTGGAACTCTGTGAGTTCAGGGACTTTGCTTTGGTTATTTCTACAATCCCAGTTCCTAGAACTGTATTTGGCATGTAGTATGTGTTCAATAAATAACTGTTGAAATAAAGAGGAAAAAATGAATCAAATCTGTGTGCATTTGTAATTGGTTATGATTCTTAAGAGTAGAATTGCTAAGTTAAAGCAGAATTGTAGGTCTTTTGATATGAAGTGCTATTTACTAATTTTCAATCCACTAAAAAATCCTGATCAATCCCACTCAAAGGCCATCAACTATTGCTTTGTTGGTATCAGTGGAAACATCAAAAAATAGCTT